CATAAATTTTCCCTGGTTGCTCATCTGCGCGTACGAGCTATGCTTGCTTTAGATGGGCCAGCCCGCGAAGGCCCATCTGCGTCGTTCGTATCTTCTCACATACCCACACCCACTCATCTCCTTTGAGTTTTATGTTCCTTTTCGAGGCCTGCCCGCCCTTCCCCTACCATAGCCCCTGGGGATTTCGTGCGTCCTAAAAATAGCCGCTTTTCGCCGGGTTTTTGCAGTCACCGGTTTTCAGTTGCATGCATTCCTCCGAAGTTGGATGATATGGGTTTATGTGCTCAGGCAGGCGGACGAGTTCTGTTAGTCATCTGTTGCTGCTGTTTACGTGGCCTATAGAATTAAAGTGCATCAGTACCGGCCTTGGCTGTGAGTTAGGCACGTGCAACCAAAATGAGGAAGGTGAGCGAGTTAGCTGCTCATTAAGCTTAATGTCACACAGAAATGCTCAATTGGACAGGGCACTTTGACAACGAGCTAGTGGAGAGGAGGACTTCAAGGGCGACGTTCCATCGCTTATAGAATCTCTTTATGTAAGGATTAGCAACCGAATTATATTTTGGTAATAGTATAAATTGGAAGGACATCCCACAAAATGTAATTTCAAGGAAAGGCGTTCTTTATGCAGTAAATGTTGGACACTGCATCCCCAGGTCGTCGTCAAACCTCGGAAAATGTTTGACAATTAAAATTTCAAAAGTTCTGGTACAGTTTTATAGTCATCCGGTGTGGGTGTTACTTGGCAGCTGCAGTTTGCGTCAGTCCCTGGTGGATGAGTAGTCGCAATAGCGTAATGGCTAATTGGCAACTATAATTTACGTCAGTCCAAGGTAAGTCCGATGACTCATGCATCAACCGACGTATCGAGTTGGATGGAGTGTACAAACAGCCCAAAGAAAGATGGAAGAGACGACGGTTGATCGCAGCGGAGTAACGTGAACCGCAACCATTAATTAGCGCCCACATCGGATGACCCGGACTGACGCAAATTACAGTTGTCAATGGGCACCCACACTAGATGACTATGCAACGAACAGCACTTTTGACACTTTAATTGTTCATTGCACATTTTCTCAAGTCTGATGGCAACCTGGGGGTCCAGTGTCGAACATTTACTGCATAAAATTACCTTATTTTCCCAAAGAACGTCTTTCCCCATTGCGCACAGAATTTCTACTTTTCCAGTTGCCTTCTGATTCGTAAGTTGTCTGAAATGCCAGAGATTATTTTTCTCCTCTTCTGTGTTCCGAAGCCGCATATAAATATTCGTGTTTCTCTTATTTTGTCTTTACTGGTGGTTTCTGTAGATATGTTTCTTTCTTTTCCCACTTCCCAGCACGAATATGCGTGGTAATCCGACTGCTCTTTCTGTCCTTTTACAGGGTCGTGTATCATGAACTGGTCATGACAACAAAGGAGTACATGCGTGAGGTCACAACGATCGATCCGCGCTGGCTGGTTGAATATGCGCCGAAGTTCTTCAAATTCGGAGATCCAACCAAACTATCACGGGCGAAGAAGTCGATGCGTGTGGAGCCGCTGTTTAACAAACACGAAGAAAAGGATTCTTGGAGAATTTCACGTGTGCCTCGGAAATTCCACGTCAAAACTACCTTCTAGGTGTCTTGACCTTGTACATGCCCCCCAAACGTACCCTCGCCCTGATCTGGCTATCTGCCAGATCATCAACTGTATAATTAAATCGATTTTATCTTTGAAGTTGTGTCTGCTATGCAGGTCACTGTGTGGCTCTTTTTTTCTCTCTCTTTCCGAAAACATAATTTTCGAAAATGTGGGTTTTTTATTTGTATGCTTGTCCACACAGTTATGATTGCCCAATTAATGAACATGTAATTCTTTTTCCCGCGGTGTGGGCTTAGGAATAAAGTGACGCAAATAGAGTTTTAAACCAGGCTTTTAAGGTGGTCTCAATTCTACGTCATAACATCCAGATGTTTATTTACCTAGTTGTATTGATGTTGTAACTTACTATAGTAAAATTGGTTTCTAGGCAAAGGTCCACGAGTTCAAGTAAGGCAGCTGCAGGAGCTAAGAAACAAAGATTCCTGCAGCTGCCTTACTTGAACTTGTGGACCTTTGCTTAGACACCAACTTTTCATTTGATCACCCATATCTGAATTCCTTGCCGAACTAGCAACGCCGAAGCTAGAATCAACGGCCCTTCCATCCATTAACCCTAAGTTATGGGTACGGTATGTAGACGACACTCGAAGCGCTCCACAACACCATTAACTCAACCATTCCGGACATTTAATTCACACTCGAGAAGGGATTCAAAAACAAACTCCCATTTTTGTATGTTATCGTGCAGCGAAGTACTGACGGAACATTAAAAACGTCCGTTTACCGCAAAGACACGTATGCGGAAGTTATTCTCTCACAAAAGGAGTGCAGTCAGCGGTCTGCTACGCCAAGCGAAGACACACTGCTCTAACGAAGAAGCCTACCGAGTAGAGCTCAATTATCTGTTTTTTTAGTTTTCCCGCAATGGTTATCCCATTGTATGCCGATGCATGAGACAACAACGATCCAACAAAGAGGAACCAGATATTTCCACTCAGGCGCCCAAAACGAATACATGGGGAATCCTTCCTTATA